CAGATAGGATGGCCAAAGCAGAGCTTCTAAATGATTTCTTTGCATCTGTGTTCCTGGACACAAATACAAGTACGTGTCCCATTGCGACCTTAGGTAAGCCCAGTATAGATACCAACCAACCGTTTGTGATGACCTAGTAAAGGGACACCTGAAGGGGTTGAATGTATTTAAATCAACAGGTCCTGATGATCTTCATCCTAGGGTACTTAGGGAATTAGCTGGAGTCATAGTGGAGCCACTGGCACAACTGTTTGAGCACTCGTGGCGCTCAGGACAGGTCCCGAAGGATTGGAAAAGGGCCAACATGGTCCCTATTTTCAAGAAGAGAAGGAAGAAGGAACCAGGTGACTATAGGTTGGTTAGTCTCACCTCTATCCTTGGCAAGACCTTTGAGAAAATTGTTAAGGATCACATCTGTGAGGGTCCAGTGGGTAAAATGATGCTAAGGGGCAATCAGCATGGGTTCATAGCAGGCAGATCCTGCCTGACTAACCTGGTGTCATTTTATGACTGAGTCACAAAATGTTTGGATGAAAGAATAGAGATAGAAGTTATTTATTTAGATTTTAAAAAGGCCTTTGACACAGTGTTGCACCCAATTCTTATAAATAAACTAAACAGTTGCAATGTAGATTATTACACAGCCCAGTGGGTAGAAAATTGGCTTATGGGATGTACCCAGAGTGGTGGTAGATGAGTCAGTTTCTACCTAGAGAATTGTAGGCAGCAGAGTCCCCCAAGGATCTGTCCTGGGATTGGTACTATTCATTATCTTCATTAGTGACTTGGACAAGGGAGTAGAAAGCACCCTGTCCAAGTCTGCTGACAAAGACAAACTATGGTGGGAAGTATACAAACTAGATGGCAGGGAGTGAATCCAAGCTGATTTGGACAGGCTGGAGAAATGGGCCGAACAGAATAGGATGCAGTATAACAAAGATAAGTGCCATGTGTTGCACCTGGGGAGGAAGAATCATCAACACTCCTATAGCCTGGGAGGTACCATTCTAAGTAGCATAGCTGCGGAAAGGGATCTCGGAGTCGTAGTCAAGTACAAAATGAACATGAGTCACTAGTGTGATGAGGTAATAAGTAAAGCTAACCACTCCCTTTCCTGCATAAGTAGGTGCAACACAAACAGGCCTAGGGAGGTGATATTTCCCCTCTATGCAGCATTGGTGAGGCCACAGCTGGAGTATTGTATCCAGTTTTGGGCACCATACTTCAGGAGGGATGTGGATGGCCTGGAGAGGGTTCAGAGGAGGGCCACTCATCTAGTTAAAAGCCTACAGAAAAATCCCTATGTGGACCAATTGGGAGACCTGAACCTCTTCAGCCTCGTAGTTGCCTATAAACTCTTTGCGGGGGCAGCAAGAAATAGGGGATGCAATGTTTACCAGGGCGCCTGTCTGGTTAACTAGAAATAATGGCTGCAAACTGGAAGAGAGCAGATTCAGATTGGACATCAGGAAAAAAATCTTTACAATGAGGGTTGCCAAAATTTGGAATAAACTTCCCAGGAAGATGGTGCTGTCCCCTTCCTTGGAGGTATTTAAAAGGAGATTGGACAGACCCCTGGCTGGGGTCATGGCATGGCCTGGATCCATTTGGTGTGTTTTGGGCTGCAGGAAGTTGGCTTCTGGTAATGAGGTTAGCGAGGTTCAGTGCTTGTTTGAATTTACAAACCACTTTTCACATGCCTAGGTCGCAAGTTAGGGCCAGGAGGATGTGATGAGGCTGTGCAATTATGACTGGAATGGCAGTGCAAGGGACCACGGCAGCTACGGGCTGGCTGCACTCAGTGTCAGGAGCAGGCAGGTGCCAGTTGCAATAATGGAAGCTCACCTGCTGCCATGAGTCTGAGTGGGGTAGGGATGATGACCTTGTGCAACCACAAATGGTGCGGCAGCCGGCACAAGAAGGCAGCTACGGGCTGCATGCACTCATTGCTATGACAAGCTGTGTTCCATTTGCTCTGTCTGACTGAAAGGCAAATCAAAGCAGTCCATGGCACCCCCCCGCCCCCAGACACACAAGTGATTCATTCCTGGATTGAACCTGGGGGAGAGTAACTATGCCATTCTCATTAAGGGCTGCTGGCTGCCATGGGTCTGACTGTGGGGTGACCTTGTGCAATCGTGAATGGTGCAGCAGCCAGCACAAGAAAAAAAAAAAAAAGCAGCAGCTACAGGCTGTGTTCAGTCAGGCACAGCACCGTTGTCACCCCGATCATGGCATGAGTGGTGGGGGCATGGGTGTCCATACAGGAGAATGAACAGTGATTCATGTTGGGCTGGGTGGACTGCAGCATGTGGTGTGCAACACCTGGTGTCCAAAGAAACACATTACACCCAGTTATCCAAACAGGGCAGCTAACCTCATCCATTAATAACTGCAATTCGCAGCAACCTCTGCTGGACAAAGGGGTGAACTACAAAAAAGTTGCATTGCCATCTGGTGGACAAAGAGGCTCATTACAAGTCTTTGAGTGCATTTCTGTTTACACCCATGGACACAACATTTTGTGGCGATGCAAATAAAACTATGTCCAGATGAGTTTTACTTTAGTGTGCCAGAAATACTTTTAAAAGCATCAGGAAAACTCATACGTGCAAACAGTAGTGCCACTGGAACACAAGAATGGGCAAAAAAATAGTGATGTATACAACAGTCCTAAATGCTTCATTTAGGGTTGTGGATTCCTCTGTGGACATCAAGAGTTTAAAAGTCAGAAGGCTTTGTTACACATTGCACTTCGAGCTGTTCAAATGTTGATTAGTGCTAGCTCAAGTTTGGAGCAGTGACACCTGAAGGCTAAAAGCCTTCTTTGACTGTGACCCACCTTGCCACTAGAGGGCTGATGAGCACAGGCCTGACTAGGGACATGGCTTGCCACTACAGGGCTGGTGAGCCAGGACAGGCTTCTACCCTGCTCTTGGTGGGGGTGGGCAGGAACATTAAATTGGAGGCAGAGAGTTAATGTGATGGGGGCGGGCAATGAAACTCCTCTGGAAAGGAAATGGGGGTGTGGGAAGGGTGGTGAAGTAAAGTGAAGTCAAGTCAGCCAGCCACTTGAGGATAAACTAAGAAGTAATAATGAAATACATAAATAAAAATAAAGAGGAAGTAAATGAAAAAAGTTCTCATATTTTAATAAACTGGGATTTGGGATTGGGTTATGAGGGGGGTGCTGGCTGTATTTCCTGGGCTGGCGCAGAGGTAGGAGTGGTGAGGGAGGGTACTTTTGGGAGAGCTACTGCCCCTGCCGTGGAAAGGAAGTCCCAGCTCATGGGGACCCAATCCAGGCCCCTGTCCTGTTTCCCCCACCCCGCCAGCTCCCTAGATTCCACTTCTGGAACCAACTGTGCCCTGCAACCTGGCCATCTGGCATTTGCTCTGTAGGCTGTTTGCATGGGGTTGCACCCCTGGGATTGGGAAGGTCACATGTCTGGTGGGGGAGGGGGAGTTGGCTTGGTGCCAGATCTACCTCCTGGGCAGTAGAGTTCAGGGCATGGAAAGTTTGTCCACAGAGAACAGAAGGGCAGGGAAGGGGACCCTGCATCCTGGGATGCTAGAGGAGTGCAGCTTATCTGTGGGGAGTGGATACACACTAATGAAACAGACGCTGGGTAACACAGGTCAGAGACAAACCTGCCCTGGAGTGGTGGAACTTTAAGCCTCCTAAAGTGTGCTTAAAACGTAGTTTCAGGTGTTAGTGTGTGGACAATCCAGGGGTTAAAAGCTACAGGAACTACCTAAAATTAATGTGTAACAAGGCCCACACATTGCTTTTCTGAGTATCACAGTACTCAAGTCCCTTGTGGAGCAACATGAAATTATGTAAGCATGCTTACTTAAGAGTTAAAATTTCTGGGAAGCAAGACAAAAAGATGACTTGTGTTATTCCAGAAGGAAGATCTGTGAGTGTTAAGCACATATTAGTATCAGAATGTCTAAATGAGGAGATACAATACCCTCTAAAAAGTGATGCAGATGCACACAGTACAGTTCAGTACATTATAAGGGGACTGGAAAAGTTTTCAGACTTCAGTGGAACAGAAGCAAAGAAAACAGGAAGAGGGATTATCCACTAGCAAATTGATTGTTATTTTCTGAAACAGCTTAACTGAATACTTAGCAAACCACAAATGCTCTGCCTTTGACTGACAAGAGTAGCAGGTGATGTGCATGGCATAATGTCAGAATGCAGCCAGCAAGTTTATTATTAATGGTAGACCTATTCTAAGACAGTGTTCATCTCAGGTTGGTGACTTAAGAGAAACATCACTGGTAAGGAAAACTGGAGTGAGGACATATCTTACAGGACAGAGTTCAAGGAAAGGATCTCCATTATTCAACATTCAATTTAGATCAAAATTGCTGGCAAAAAAGACAAAACCAGAGAGGAAGAGTGATGGGGTGGAGGTAAGTGGAAAGAAGAATTAAGGAATTTTCTCTCTATATGTTACTAAAGTAATTATGACATGTACATACTCATGCTACTATCCAGGTATAAAGTTAATGTGATATTTGCTACCGTGTATACATTTTCAACTATTGTTACATTGATAATCTGGCCCATAAAAGTCCGTATCATTTATATCCCATGTACTGTACCTACATTACTATGCAAAGGGCTGAATCACATGTACATAAGTGGAAAACTCTTCACTTAGGATCATCGTGATTTTTTTTTTCCTGATGGGCAATTAACAAACTATCAAGCAAGTACAATTGACATGCATAAGTCATCCTGATATCATAGCGAAGGTACTGCTGGTGGAAAAAATTCTGATATCCTCAGAATCAGTGCTCAGTCCACTCCACTGCCCTGTGGCCTATACCTCCTTGTACCAGTTGCCTTTTGAGACAAGATGCAAGACTTGCCAGGGTTTTCTGGTGTTGTTTCTTAAGGATGGTGAGAGTATTGAGCCACAACGTCGGTAGCGTACTGCTTTGTTACTGAATTAGATTGCTAGAGGGAGATGCTGTTGTAAGTCTGTGTTATTATTCCATTGAAAGAGCAGTAATGGCTGCCAGAGCTCTTGGATAGTGCCTTTCTGGCAATAGATCTTCAAAAACACATGAAGCAGCTAAACACAAGCTTCCATTACCTTTCAATGGAAAGTGAGTAGCTAATTACCATTTTAAACTTTTAGAATTTTTCCAGATTTGTTTTCCAAAAAAGAATGGATCCCCCAGTGTCTTCTTTGTAACGCTATTCAGCACATAAAAATCAAAACATATACACCAGTAGGCAGGCTGTTTATTGTATCAACAAGAAACTAGTATTCATTTTGTAAGAAGGAATATTGGTGCGTGCACACATACACAAAATTAGAGGTTGTCAAGTTGCTTCATAATTACCAGTTTCCCTTGTGCAAAGAAAATGTCTTAGTTATTTTAAAGTTAGCAGTGTCTATAAATAAACTTCCATTCTCACTAAGCCCATTCAAGTGTTGATGTTATGTTGGTGTAATCTGGGAGGAGTATTGTATCATCCTCTGGTTATTTAGTGGTTACTCTCTTGATATCATTGTATAATATAAACATAATTATGTTAGCTTAAGAGAAATAGCTATTCTTCTCCCCAGACTCCATAAGAATTACCTGCTGATGTAATTGGTATTATGTAAAACAATATGTATAGGAGAAGAAAAAAACAAACAAAGAGAAAGAGAGAGAATCCTTGTCCATGAATAATTTTATCCACTATTGTGAAAGGTAGCACGTACAATAAATATGAATGAAAATGATTGATTGTGGTGTGAACCTCTACATTTTCCAGTGTATTTTCTTTGTTTGTGTGTACCATTAGTTTAACTGTTGTCTCAATCTGTGTCCTTTTTTCTTTGTGTAGATCTTTCAAAAAGCAAATGGAAAAGTTGTTATAAACTAGGAAAAGGTACAAAAACTGGCAATAGATTTAAGAACAAGTTTACTTAATATAGCATTTAGCGTTTTTTTTTAAATCTTGATTTCAAGTTTATTGTGATCTTTTAAAGTTGTTATTACAAAATATAAGAACCCTGTACATGACAGAGAATGATTTAGTTGAATGGTATCAGTACACTGCCGTTGCTTTGTAACCTAAAAACCCTATAAAGCAACACAACATAAACCTTTACCTCATACTATTTTCTCTTTCTTCATGAGTAGCTCAGTGCAAGTCTGCCTCCACTCTTTCTATTTTTTGATTCAGTCTATGAGACCTAAACAGAAAAAGTCAATATTCAAGCAGTCTCAGTGCAAGCTTATTACAAAGTAGAAGAAAGTGAACGCTGCACTGTAGTCTGTGATAATCACACCCACCATAACTGACCACTCTTTGATTTGAAGCTTCACATCCAAGGTAAGATTTTACATGAGGGGGAAAAATACTACCTGCCATATAATGCATCACTGCTAATGGCATCTAATTTATTAAAGAACTATTTCTGTCTCTACATATTTAACTTTAGAGGGGAAAAATCTCACATAAAACACTATCTTTGGGAGAAAATGTATTCAGACATCATGATTTATTTCTTCTCATTTAAAAAGGTGAAGTGACTTATCTTCATCAAAATACATCATGACAACTTAAGTTGTGCTGCAATAACTATAAGATTCACGGAGCAAGTGATTTTAGGAGATAATGGGATGGAAGGATTTTCTTTTTTATTTTGTCTGTGCAAATTAATTGAAAATTAGAAATCCTTGCTTTTAACACTTTATAGTTCAAAATGAAGCCTTGGGGATGTGAGGGCATTTATTTTATATATTAAAGTAGTCTTGTAATGTCTAATAATGGGTGGGTGGTTGTCACTGGATTTTTTCAAGTATCCACATGACAAAGATGTGCAACAGTGAATTCTAAAGTTCAAGAGACAAAACAAGCATTGGTCATATGTCTACAGATGCTTCAAATAGGTTAAACTGGTAGTCATGTTACTTTTCTTCTTGATTACCTTTTGTGGCTTCCCATTTTTCCTTAGAAAAATTTTCCAGGCTAGATGTACCAAGAATAAAACATATTACTATATATTTTTGTGTGTTTCAAGTATATGCTATTGCATATAAAAATGGTATAATCCTATAACAGAAAATAGGAAAAGGTATTGTGGAGGATATTTAGTATAACCTTGCTTAAATTGGCATAAGCATCATTTTATTATATACACAGCCTTAATTTTTTGGAAGCAGATGCTTCTAGCATTATCTTGTTACATGATATGTTCTATGCCATCTAGAGACAGAAACAGAGCAAAGCACTTCACATTTTGTACTAGCTGAGCATTCCTACAATACATTTATAGTTTCTGTTGACATGACCATTTCTACACAGCTCTACCTTGTTTTTGAAGATTTGACAGTTTTGCTTGTACTATAAAGAAGGGACTATACTGTAACAAGTTGGTAGATGGTGGCTGAGTGAAATCATCACGCAAGAGATACAGAGTCTTTGTTATCTCTCCATGCACACAGGTCTGCCTGCATGAACTGATGGTAATAACACTGAAATTGTGCATGAAAAAATACCAATGTTTCTCTGTGTGGACCAGATTGTGTCCATAGATGTTGGCAGAATTGAGAGAACATGTCACCAGCTACTAAAGGCTTAAGGTGCAAGCAGATGCAAATAGGTGATTGAGTAGGGAAGGAATTATGTATTTTGGGGAGAAGTTTTAAAGTTAAGCCCTACCGACTTTTGAGAGTAAGGTTTAAAAAACAAAAACAAAACAAGAACAGACCTTTTTGTGAGTTGCAAATAGGAAAGTCTGATGCCTATGGCATGCTTGCAAGTAAGGAGGTATAACTAAGAGCAAGAGCGAGGTAAAATAAGAAATTTCAACCACTGCAGAAGAGAAAGTCAGGCTCTTGGGAACACGTATAGTTGGGGGTCTGAATGCATACATAGGTAAGCCCTCCACTGGCTTCATCTTTATGACTGTAAAGTGCTATAACAATTTTTGTTGGAACTTGTGTTTCCCTTTATCTGTCAAGATCAAACATCTGTCAACAATCTGCTGTCAGATTTGCCCAGGATCTTTCCATTCTCAGTTCACTGCATTCATGTGTACAGATTCATAGCAAGGGAAGCCAAATGCCATATTTCAGGTGTTGTGAAGGCAAAGAAGATAATAAACAGCATGAAGTTGACTCCGAGGCCTTCAGTAGTTTTATCTGGCATAACTCCTAAAGAGTTTTTTTCATTGCTCTCCCCTCCACAAGTCCTATCACTTTTTCCTATAATTAGAATGTTTTCTGGTCTCTGTTTCTTTTATCATTTTGAAAAGCTTGTGGGGAATGTAATGGGATTGGAGGGATGCGTTATATACAACAATGAATAATACTTAATTGCTTATAAATAGATACAATAATATTCTGGGTGTGATTAAAACAATCTGCATAGGTTCAGTAAAAAAATAGTATCAGTGGTTTGGAAAGGACTTATGACATGAACACCAAACAGTATTTCTCAGAGAATATTCCACTGAAAAGCTGTCACACCAAAATCTTCAGATGTAAAATTTTTAGACTAGCATTCATCCCATCAAGAGTTTGCAGCACTTACACAAATACTAATGAAAAATAAAGTGTCTTTTTTGTGTGTGTGTGTGGTTTTTTTTT